TGGAGAAATAATAGTTTTACAATCTAAAAAATGACAAAACAGTGAATCCACCTACTACTCGGATTAAATTTTTTGAAAAATAAAATATTATTTTTTATGCTAATGCATAAAAATAATTTAAAACAATAAAAAATATTTAACTTTTTAAAAAATATTTTTAAAATATAAAAATAAATAGATTAAAAAAACAATCATTAAAATGCAAGATGCGGCATCCAAGCAATTCTAACCAAAAACAGGGGATATATATATATATATATAATCCCTGAAGTTTTCTATTGGATCCTACAATTCCAGTAATCAACAAATCAAAATATTTTCTCTCTTCGATTAATAGTGCTCAACCTTTGATCACCAAGATTTCATAAAACATATCGAATGCTTGCGACTGAAGAAAATTGGTCAAAGGAACTGTTTCAAATTGGAATCCAACAAAGCCTGTTTCAGGGACCAATTCCAGTTCCCTTCACATTCACCAGGTTACCGAAAGAAGAATACACACACACACACACACACACGATCGAGTCCCTTGCTCATGGCATTAATTTAGTACAGGATGCCGATAAAGTTAAGGAGAACCCCAGAAAAACAGTTGTGAAGTGGAAAAAAATGGAGGATGATGTGGATCATGATTGGGAAACTTTATTTCGTTGATGGTCGCGATCAATATTGGGCAAGTTGTCATGTGATTCTCCAATCCCATGAAAGCTATGTTTTTAGTGATTAGAATGATTAGCTGAATGTATATTCTACTACTGCTCAAACGCCAAAAACATTACACCCACATTTCCAGAAAAAAAAGAAGCATTTTGTAGTAATCTATAATCTGTGGGCCTTGCATGCTGCTACCCTTGCTTTTTGAAAAGGTGCAAATTAGAGGTTTGAAATCGTTGGGATCAGGGAAAAGAAACATCAAGGTGGGCTCTTTCATGATTCATTTCTCGCTTGTGAGTTTGGTTCACCAATGACTTTTTCAGTATGTCTTCTTAGGTTGCAGTGTTTTACTTTGAATCCTTCACTGAAAATGGGGCCTGAGTTTTCTATTTTCCTGTTTCTTGAAGAGGGAGAGATGATTAGCACTACTTATACTTGGTTCTGATAATATTCAAGTACGTTCGCTCTCTAGAAGATTAGCTGATTTGAAGTCCTGGGTGAGTAAATTTTTTATAAAAAAACCAAAAAAACTAATTCTCCTAGGTAAACCAGGAATATAACAACATGAAATTAGATTGATAATTATATATAAATATATATACATATATATATATATATATATATAAATTACTAACATAATTATAAAATAAAATAAAATAATATTTATCAGATTCATTGTCCTTAAGTTTGATATCATGTCAGTATAAACTTCATAATCATTATACACCAGGCTATGATATTTTATTTATTTATTTTTATAATTTTTAATATAAAATATTAATATTAAAAATACATCTCTTTACACCTTTAATATATAAAAATTTTCTAATAGTTGCCTGTATTTTTTATTAATATTAATATTATATGAGAAATATTTGACTTTAATATTGTGTAATATATATATATAGAGAGAGAGGGAGGGAGAGAGAGAGAGGGGGAGAGAGAGAGAGAGAGAGAGAACACAGTTCATGGCCAAGTACTGAATGAATGAAATATTTAAAATCCTTTACTGTCCAGAACAACATTGTGATCCAGCATTAAAATAAGATCATCCAGACTTCCTCCACGCCACCCGCATATTAATTCTCAGTCAATTGAGTGATTGCCTCCCAGGCCCAGATTTTTAACTGTCACTCTGAACACTTGCATATTAATTCCAAGTTTGCGCCTCAAGCTTCTCTGCAGGCCCATCACCAAAGAAGATGTCGAGGCCAGCATGTTTGAGGCTCTTTCGAAAACTGCGTTCCCTATTTTAAAAAGCATATTCTTCAACTCTTTAGAGTTACTAAAAAACAAGAAGACAGTTAATAATGTTAAAGCGCTAAATGAGTTTAGATATATTGTTTTTATCAAACAATGAATTCCATTTATTTTACAATAAAAAACCCAACACATGTAAGATATAACCCATAAAAAATGATAATTATACTGCTACACTATAGCAACTGGTTTTTTTTAATGGTGCTTCACTGGTTATATAAATATTGAAGAACATTAATATATTTATTTAATCTAAATGACAACAATTTTATTTTGTAACTCAATAGATTAGTATGTGTTTTTAAACCTAAAAAAGCTAAAAAATCTTATGTTTGCTAGGATAAATAAGAGATATATTAATAAAAAATTTATTTTCATAGAATTTTCTTTTCAAAATAACTGTGTTTTTATATTTAATAGCAATGTAAGAGAATTTTTTAAAACATGTATATTTTTATTTTTATTTTTATTTTTCTACAGTACATTGTGAGTATACAAACTAGTAATACCTAAATATACATAACAATACAAACAAAGGTTCAAAAACCTAAAAAACAATTGAAAGAGCGTCCATGCCGCAATTCATTTCTTATCATTTAGTGTTTGTTTAAGAGTATAATATATATTTTAAAAATTATTTTAAATAAATTAAAATAATATTTTTTTATACTAGCATATCAAATAATTAAAAAATATTAAAAATAAATTTAAGCAAAAAATATTTAAATTTTAGACAAATAATATCTCAGTTGCACTGTCAAACATCCCTTTGTTCAGACACATGTCGCCCTTCACAATCTTTGCTAGCTCATACCTCAGCCATTTACCTCCTCTTACTTGGATTTTTTGTTCTTTCAAAATAGCAATTGTTTTTTAAGTTTTATAAAAATCACTTAGACAAATAAAAAGTTTTTGAAAAATAATATACTTGATGGATTGTGCCGTAAAAAAAAACATAACCAAATTAATTATACTGCTTCCAATAAGCAATTCAATAAATTGTAGATTATGTTGTCAGGAACAACATAACTTATTGAACTTGTTTTATTTCAAAAATATTTTAAATAATTCCTATCATCTAAAAATTAAAACAAATGATTTAGACAAAAATAAAAATAGTAAATCATTTATTTGATAACTAAAAAATCTCAATAAAAAAATTAGATAGAGAAGTAGTTAAAAAATAGATAAATATTAAAATTAAAAAAGACATAAAACAAAATATTTTTATCTCATGTATTATTAACGTGTGAGAAAATAATTTTGTTAAAAAAAGGTAGGATGAAATTTGGATTCATTCTTATCTGATAGAGAACGGATTAAAAAACTAGATTAATATTGAAAATAAAAAATAGATAATTTTTTTTATCGGGTAGAGTAAATAATTTCGCTTAGGGTAGAGTAAATAATTTTGCTTAGAAAAGATAGGGATAATATTTAAGTTTATGTTTATTTCATAAAGAACTAATTCAAAAATAGATAAATATTGTTAATATAAAAAATATTTTTTATCTGGAACATTATTAATTTGTGAGGATAATTTTTTATGACAAAAAATATAATTTTTATTTTTATTGAATAATTATCATCGCAATTGTTTTTAACACGTTAGACTTATATAAAATAATTAATGAAATGATTGCTGATATTACAAAAAAAATACTGAAATTTTACTTGAAAACAAAGGCAAAACTAAATGGTATTTAATGAATAAATATTTTGAATTACTTTATTTTAATGAATTTAAATTAAAATTCAATAAAAATAATAAAATAAGGGGCTACATAAAATGAGGCTAGATGTTTAGGCATGATGGGTGAACATGTGCACCTCTGGCGTAATACAAAGAAGCCAATCGTCCATGGGCCTGTAAGGCTAGTTCGCATGTCTGGTTTATTTTGCTTGTTTAATAGGTCATATATCATGTTATTAAAAAAAGATGATGAGTCATGTCATCTACTAGTAAAGATTTTAGCCTTTAAAGACGGCAAGAAAGTTGGGATTTGATTTTTAGTACTCAAAAATCTATTTTTAACCTTGCTTTTATTTGTAAACTTCTCGTACAAAACCTAATCACCTAAATGAACCCATTTAGTTTCAAAATTTCTCTAAATCAGTTAAGAACTCAAAATTAAATTGAATTAATTATATTTCCTGAGCTTTGATTTATTTATTTTTTAACAAAATAAAAGTTCAAAAACATCTTAATGATATATATATTTTTTTATTATTATTATGATAATGATGTGTTGAAATGTGACCAACCAACTACTTTTTTTTTTCATCTATTTGCAGTGACATTCACTTTTCTCTCTTAAAATTTAGGGATTGAAATACAAAACAAGTGAAGTTTATGACTAAAATGTAAAATTATAAAATTAAAAGGACTAAATAAATGAGAAAATAAAGATTTTTTTAGAGTAAAATGAATTTTTTGCATGATTTGAAAAACCTCGTTAGTTTCTTTTTATTTTGATTTTGATTTTTTAATTTTTGTTAACGCTTCTAATTTAAATCTTATTCAAGAAATTAACTTTTAAGTAATTTTTTTTTCAATACATTGAATTGTTAAGAAAATGCAGGAAAAGAAAACACCAACACGTACACATATCATAAGTATCATATAATGATGTTAGTAGGGGACTTTATGAAATTAAAGGTAAGGTATTTTAAGAAAAAATTATGAGTTGTCAACCAATAATTTTAAAGAATTAAAAACCCTAAAAAAATATATATTGATTTAAAAGATTCAATTAAAAAATTAATTATATCTAAGAGAATAATAATGTTACTTTTACAACATTCAAACATAGATTTGATGTGATATTATAATTTAACTGTATTTAAAAAAAATTAAGCTTTAATTTTTTTAATCATAATATTAAAAATAAATTTAAAAAATAAAAAAATATTATTTTAATATATTTTTAAATAAAAAATTGAAATTCAAACAGGTAATTTAGGGTTTTTTTTTAATAAAAAAAACCTTCTCTTAAAAGTTACGACAAATAAAAGGACGGACTTAAACCGACGTCAACGTCTACCACCATTTGCCCGCTGTTAAAATTAAAAAACGGAAACAAGCAACACCTAACGACCTCACCACTAGTTTAGTTATTCGCGCTTGCTTTCCAGTCCTCAACCCCCCTTCTCTCTCTTCTATGGCAGCAGCTGTATAAGCTAGTGGAAGAGAGAGGCTTGACACGTCACCGGCGATGAATTCTTCCGCTTCAAAATCAGCAACTGACGCCGCATCTGAATCATCTTCCTCTTCTTTCGCTGCCGAGACGCCTGATTTCAACGATCACTCAAATGCTTCTCCCATTCCTAACCGTGAAATCGATTCTCAGGTATGTCTCCTCACTCGTACTTGATCAAGCGTCTCTGTTTGTTAGGATTTTACTGTTTACTGTATTTTACAGTCACCGGCAGCAGCGAGGAGTGAAGAGTATAGACAACTGTTTCGTCTTCCCCCGGAAGAAGTAAGTCACTCTATGTTATGGATGTTCATATCTTTCAAATGTCTTTATATATATTTTCGAAGAATTACTTAGCTGAAAAAAAGAGAATCAAGAACTCAGCTACTGGTTCCTAGGAGTTTCTTATGCTAAATTTCAATTTGCTCTTCGCTATCTGTAGCTGTTTTGGTTTTATTAAATTATGTTTCTTCAAAATTTTCTTTTGATAGGATCTTTATCAAGATGAAAATCTGTTAACTCTACGTGAGTTGAGATCCAATAATTTGTAACATTTCAGAAATGTTCTCAGTTCTGTTCGAGTTGGAGCTTCATAACATGTCAGAATTGACATTTTTTATCCTTTTATGGTTAAAGCTGGACCCTGCTTGGAATTCATTGATCCTAGCCTTAAGTCAATAGGATTTTGAAACTTACAAATGTATCAAATAGAACACAAATGATAATTGAAATGAGGGGAAAGCTGATGGAAGTGCGGTGAAATGTGCTATAAGAAGCTCATGAGAAGTAATCTGCTTAGTATCATTTCCAACCTCTAGGACATCATGTGTTCAAAATGCTTATTTTATCTTGCACGTGTAATTGTGCACCAGTTAAGCATGTCTGTGTACATGTTTGTACCTTGAATTAATTGTTTCTCGTGTGAAATTTTCTGAAACGGTTCTTATTGTTAAAACTTTTGATATTGCCCCCTCTCTGTCATGCACACATCAGAGGATATTGTAGAGTTCTAAAGGACCTTTGTTTTCTCTGAATTATGTTTCTAAAATTTTCGTTTCCCCCCCTATAGGTCCTTGTACAAGACTTTAATTGTGCATACCAAGGAAGTATTCTTCTTCAGGTAATCTCGACGCTGACCTTTATTGTGTACTTGGAGATGCATGCATTACTCAATAATTGCTATGTTATATGTGTACACTCACTACGTGTTATAGTACACCACATTTCATCCTTTTGAGTTGGAATTTCATTTGGTAAATGATACCATGGATGAGTTATGTGATAATTTTGTTTATTTAAGTTTTTTTAACTTACTTGGAGGTAAGATTATGTTTCCTCCTATATTCATGTGTTGTTTACTGTTTACATGTTGCAGGGGCATTTGTACCTTTTTGTACATTATATTTGCTTTTATTCAAAAATATTTGGATTTGAGACAAAGGTAATGTTTGAATATGGCCTTATTATTGTTATTGTGGTCAATGTCTTTTATAGTTCCCTTTCTCAATCTTGACTGTTTCCAGACATATTTGATGGGTTTTTATCCAGAAAACAATCCCTTTCCATGAAGTTACGAGTGTAAAAAGAGCAAAGACAGCTGGGATCTTCCCTAATGCAATAGAAGTTTTTGCCAGAGGAAAGAAGGTAGTGCTAGAAATAGAGTACTGCTCCTCTGCTATTATGTTTTGGCATTTCTTGAAGTTGTCGCTCGGAATAGTGCTCTTTCACTTCTGAATTTCAGTAAAAATTGTGATATCTTAATCCAGTTATTATTCTGCAGTACTTCTTTGCATCATTTCTCTCTCGTGATGAAGCTTTGAATCTCATCAAGGGTGGATGGTTACAACATGGTAATGGTTCCAATTTGATTGCAGAACAACAGGTATTTTAAAGCATTGGATACTCATTGCATGAATTTTTATTACTTCATCGTGAACTCTGGAATGGTAAAACTTCTTCCTCGTCTGTTTTTGTTGTTGCTATCTTATGTGATGATTTTATACCAGGATTTAATTTCTGTATCCAGTAGCCTAGATAATGGACTTGTTGTGATTGAAAAGGTGAATAGCTTCAAGCAAACCAGTGAGTTAGATTCCCCTGACAGGTACTTTCACAAGCCATACTGAGTTTATTTATATGAGTTGTCTCTGTCCATGTCTTGGGTGATTGATCATAAATTGACTGCATATATGTGAATAGTAGAAAAAAGGCTACTGATCCTTTGCCTGATTCTGAATTTTCACCATCCGTTGAAAAGGGCAGTGTCTCCATGATACAAATTCAAGTAGCAGATGAATTGGCACAGGATGTTGAACTAGTTAGAAACAGCGACTCTTCATCTTCAGCAACTTTGGCATGGAATGTGGAAAATTTCAATGCACCTCAGAGTTAGTTATCTCTTGTGAATTACTTTAATTGTGATTTTATTTTCTATATATCATGCAATGAATGAGTTCATTTTCCTGTTAGATATAATATTTTCTCAATCATCAAGATTTTAAGGTGTATGGTTCCTCTTCACCTTCTAGTTTAATTTAGAATCTTCAATCTGGAGAATGAACAGATTTAGCGAATTTTAAACTAAGCAATTGGAGCTTTTCTATTAGATCTATCAGAGGAGTTATTTGTAATTCTTGGTGAAAATTTTGCTCGAAGAGGATTGAATCCTTTGGATGTGGGCTATGGAGCTTATTTCTACTCAAAAGTGATGTTGTGGTTGGTATTTGTCATCAGCAAGATTTTGGGATGATGTTTGAGGTGGTCCTTCCCTTTATATTTTGCCGCACTCTTTTAATTGAGCTGTTTCTTTCTGATATGCAGTATGTGAATCGTTTAAAGAAGTTGGACAGACAAAGTTTCCGGTAGTGTTCCTTTTTCTTTTATTGATTTGCTCCCCTATTGTTTTACCACGTGTAGAATTCTATAAATATTATCGCATTAAAGAGTCTTTCTCTGATCTTCATTTATTTTAAGGACTGCAGATAAAGGTAGAGGAGTTCTTTTATTTGTTCTTTTCAGATGATGCTGCTAAATTTGTTGAATCTTTTCATAGTAGATGTGGAGATAAAGGTAATTTTCTTTGAATTCACATGGAACCATACTAAAGTAAAACATGCTAGAGTTTTTGGATGTGGTTAAGTTTGATGAATATGTTGGATAATGTTATTCATACCTTTATCTTTGGTTGGTTAACTTTTGTGCCTTTCAGATTTCAGATGCTCTTTATGGTACATAGATGATAAATCTGGGCATGCTCGTGATGTCTCTTTTCAGCATCCTATCAAAATATATTTTGGTATGGAGATGTATTACGTGTGTATCTATGATTGCTTTTGTTTGTCAATTTCAGCGAATTTGTTTCCCTTTATGTTTGTTTCAATTTGTGTTTTTATATAGGTGCAAAATTGGGCAGCTGCCAGGAGGTCCAGAAATTTCGAGTCTACAGAAACAGGTTCTTATAATCTGTAATTTGAGAGACATTTTAGATGTTTTGTTCTTTAATTGTTTTGAATATGACTTGATGATGAGCTCAATAAGATGGTGTAGTAATTCGTTATCCATCAAAGCCTCTATTTCTCAGCACAAAAAGAAAAAAAAAGGCTTTTATTTCTTAGATGGAAGAAAATTGGAAAGCCTTATTGGAAACAAAAGGAAGTTTCCTAGAGGATTTTTAAAGCAGTTCTATAATTTGACTGTTTCGTTATGATTTGGCTTTTTTCAAAGGTAAGTAAGGATTAGGTTTTGATGGATCAACACAATGTTTCACTCTGCTCCTGGGCAGAGTTACATAGAAGAGAAGGGGGCACCTTCTGCCGTTAAAATTTTCAAAATACTCATTTTAGTCCTCTCAAATTTATCATCTTCTTTTTAATTGTTTGTCCCCTCATTTCTTGGAAACCTTTTCTTTGGCCCCCCTTTATCTTTCACTCCTAGCTCCGCCCCTGACTATGTTTAAGGAGTTGGATGTTTGAACCTATCCTTTATGTGCCTCTTTTCTTTATTTGTAAAGATCTGAGGTATAAGTGCATGCATTAAAGTAAATGCTTAATTTGGTTCCGGTGGTAGTAGTTCCTTTTCTCTTAAAAGATCCCGCTGATTCTGATCCTGCTTTCCCGTACTTCCTAAAAAGAGCTCTTGCTCTGGCACCTTCTTCTGATTCTTCCCTTACGCTCTATCATCTTATTTTATCCCTAGGGAATCATTCTTCCTCTTCTTTCATACCTGATTCTTTCTCTCCCATGGTGACTGACTTGATAGCTTACGGGTTAGCTGTTTTGCCTCATACAAGGTAGGCCCAAAACAGGGGATTTTCGGGTTTCACTTAAGATCCCCTTCCTGCTGACTCAGAGCCCTTCTTTCCTTCTCTTCTATCACCAGCACCCTTTGAAAGTCACTTTATAATCTTCCTCTAGCAAAATCTCACCAACTCTCTAACTTTCTTCACCAGAGAGTAAGAAACTGAATCGCATCCCTGTGTCCTGGGATAGAAGCAAAGTAGTGATGATCATCCAAAGATTCTTAATAGGTATAATCATATACGACTCAATAAAACCCTCTACACAACTACTTCGAGTCCACTACTGTTTTGCTACTTCTAGAACCAAAAACTTTGCAAGCTGTTTTGATGCTAAACACCTTTTTATCATTTGTATCCATGATCTCTTTGGTCTCTCACCCCCTCCATCTTCTCTACTATGTACATAAATTTATGTTACAAGACCAAGCTATTTCAGACAAGTCTCTCTCACATATCCTCATATAAACTTTCTTGCAAGTGTATTTATTTCTTTCAAAGTTCTTGATTGAATCAGTTTAGTTTTTTGAGGGATTTAAAATAAATGTGTCACAAATTCATTGTGAAATTACATATAAAGCTCTTGATTGATAATGTTCTCAATGGATTAAATTTATTAGCTGTCTATATTGTCATTTATTTGCTAATTTAATTCCTATCCTTCTTTTTTGGATGCTGAGTGTAAAGAATTTGACCAGTTGTTTGTTCTTCCTTGTGATCTCACCTTTTCTTTTACCAGTCATTTGATTATCGAGACATCACAGGAGATCAGCAACGTCCATTTTGGAGATTGTTTTCGCGTTGAGGTACAATTCTGATCCATTTTATTGATACGGTGGATAAAAGGTTTTTATTTCATTTCTTTTCATATTTTTTACTAGGATTGTGTACTCAGCTTTTAAGAAACAGATTCTATAATGGCATTTTATATTGAATGATAATTAATTATTAAGAAGTCAGAAACTTATTCCCTTGTCTATTTAGGTGCATCTTTTGAGATGTGGTTCTTTTCTTGGGTTACATGAAGTTTTTTAAACTGTTTCAGGACCTTGGGAATTGTCATGTTATTTCTTTTCAAGCTTGTGCTCCATCATGGCTGCATTTTTTAAATTCCTGTATTGAATTGTTCTGATTGGTCTTAGATAGATTTACTTCCAGATTGGGTGTGATTTGTATTTGGGTTTGTTAGACATATAGGACATGTATCCCTTAAGCCTGTGATTGTCAGACTTGGGCCAGTAGCTTCCTCCTAATACATTATTTAGATTTAGGAAACCAATAATAAGAGAGGATACGACTATTCTACTCCTAGGTATGGAATTGACTTTAGGAAAGGAGATGGATATACAACGTGGAGAATTCTTATTGATTGAAGGAGAGATATTAAGTTAGATGGTCTGTTGCATATTAAAAACCTTTGATACCGAGCAGGAAAAGGGAATTTATTTATTTGTTTATGATTTAGATAATCTTTCTTTCTGAAGTTTAATATCATCTAAGAATTTTCTTGGATTAATTATTTCATTTTGATTATCTTCTTTGGATTGAATTTACTTTTTCAGTGTCTTTTTAAGTACAAACTACATGTATTCTGGGACACATTTATGGTGAACTGTTGCCTATTAAAAACCTTTGATACCGAGCAGGAAAAAGGAAATTTATTTGTTTGTTTATAATTTAGATAATCTTTCTTTCTGAAATTTAATATTATCTAAGAATTTTCTTGGATTAACCATTTCATTTTGATTATCTTCTTTGTATTTAAGTTAAGTTACTGGGATTTTTTCAGTGTTGTTTTAAGTAACTACATGTATTCTGGGACACATTTATGGTGAATTAGACTGAGATGTGAGAATTGTTTCATGCTTCAGACTCCTATAAGTTTTTCCACTTTTATTCAATTTATTACTTGCTCTTTTGTAGGGAATTTTTCAATTTTTTGACTTTGTTGGTATCCTTGTACTGCTTTACCTTTACACACAAATCGGTGAAAAGAGAAGGAATTTGGGAAGGGAGTGGAAACGGAGGACAAAAACTTGGTGAAATGTTCCTCAAGATTCAGTTGTTATGATAATTTCACATGACAGATCAACAGGGAGGAGATGTTAAAGAAACAAATGACGATTAGTTCATGAAATAAGAAATGAAATGCAGCGGATAGAGATTCAGTGCAATGGTTGTTTAACATGAAAAAAAAGTTCTATAACAGACTTTTAAATACCAGTGGCAGCAAGTATTCCGTATAGTTCTTGGCATGAGCTTTAATTTGGTTTAAGACCGTGATCTCCACTATTTAAACCTACCCTGCCCTCCTTCTTCTGTTAATGGATACAATTGTCAGGGACTATGGGATGTGACTAGAGATGGTGATGGATCGAATGAAGGATGCATTTTGCGGATATATGTGAACGTTGTATTCAGCAAGAAAACTATTTTTAAAGGTTTGCATTTCCCATTACATACAATTTCTTTATATGCTTCATGTTACAATTTTTCTGTTCACAATTCACCTTAATTTCACCATGTTGTTTTTTATTTTATTTTGGGGTATAATTTGTGGCCAAAGACCTGAAAGAAAAACTATCTTCTATAAACTCTGGCTGCTGTAATATCGAGGAAATTAACCTAGGGATTCGGCATAAACCAGGGGGAGGATCATTGAAATACACTGTTCTTTGGCTTTGTGAAATACTTCTTTAACCAATCTGCGGATGAATTGCACTCTCTGAACCTGTGGCAAATCCTGACCAGCCAACTCTTCCTCAACAGGATTCAATAATGTTGATCTTTATCCCTATATCTCATGGAAAAGAAGTGTAATATTTTATACAAATCTTTTGCATAAAATATTTTTGTAGTGAGATCATTTCTGCTTCTACAGATATACACGGGTTTCATCATGGAAATGGTGCCAAATAAGAGTAACTCATTCTAATTTCAATACTGAGCATCTTGTATTGGAAAGAGCATTAACTTGGAAAGTGCCACGATAATTAGGAAAGACAAGTCTGAATGAACAGGAATTTTATTGAAGAATAAAATTTGACCAGATATGGTAATCATACTGGCATACACTGGAAGGATGTTCACTTCTCTCTAATGATCTTTTCTTTCTTTCTTTCCTTTTTTTTTTTGTTATCTGAAATACAAATAAAATGAGCTACAGTTCCTGAAATTATTTGCATCGCAATGGCTTTATATACTTCTTATAATTGGGGATTATGGTTAATTGCTTGAAATCAAGTCTCAGGATGTGCCTCATAAACTCTTATTATGCACTTACATTCATTTATATAACCTACATTTTCATAGATGCTTTTACAATCGTCAAAACTGCACTGTACCTGTTTTCATAAATTTCGTGGACTGGATTCATGCCTAATGCCTTGCAATATTGTAGGGAAGATAGTGCAGTCTACTGTACAAGAATGTCAAGAAACTTCTGCAATATGGATAAATCATGTACCCATTCTTTTGTTGACACAAGTTATCAAATCTATGGTATATTTTGGATGGAATGTTTATTGACTGTATGTTTAATTAATTTTCCAGGCACATGAATTGTTGAAGTAGAAGAACCTTGAAAAACCAGGAGGTTGATCATCATAAGAATTTAAGCCAGCTGCTTCTCTGCATGATGTGCTTTGCTTTGTGTGGTACTGCATTACTAACTTTAGCTAACCATTTCCAATTTTCTTAAAGCAGAGGCAGAGCCTCCTGTCAGCATGATTCAGAAGGGAGAAGTTCATTCTGAAAGAGAAGTGAAGACTGGAGAAGCTTCAGAAATCTCTTACAAGCAAAGTGACCACATAAGAATGCAGTAGATGTCTAGTTCTGTGGCCATTAGTCAACGGGGTGGCAATCTTGTGCAGGGCCTTCTCTGTATGATGTGGTATTGCATTACTAACTTTAGGTAACCATTTCCAATTTTCTTGAAGCAGAGGCAGAGCCTCCTGTCAGCATGATTCCGAAGGGAGAAGCTTCTCTGCATGATGTGCTTTGCTTTGTGTGGTACTGCATTACTAACTTTAGCTAACCATTTCCAATTTTCTTAAAGCAGAGGCAGAGCCTCCTGTCAGCATGATTCAGAAGGGAGAAGATTCATATATTTCACTTAAAGGTAAAAAATGGTTTCTTATGCTATTTTTACAAAGTTTCCTGTTCTAATATTTTTGGTGGTTTGCAAAATTGTTAAATTATTGTGGAACAAGATAGGAACGAATCAAAATATTATCTGCCTTTTCTCTTCTAGGAGCTCAAAATTTATGTGTTCTTGATCTCTATTAGTGGTGCAAGTTCTAATTCAAGTGATAATTTCTTAATATTTTGTGCTTTATTTATTTATGATTAACTAAGTATTAATATTAATTTTATTTGTTAATAAATATATTTTATTTAAATTTGCTGTTGATTTTGAATGTGAATAATTCTCTTGTTAATATTATTAATTTTAAGTGTCATATCGGAGTATAATTTTTTAATTTATGATGGTTACTAATTGACCCTGCTGGGGAAAAAGAAATCCTGCCTTCATCGTTAAACATGTATATTTTGTTAGATATAAAGCATGAATAAGAAATAGGAAATTGGCAAGCACACAATTATACAAGGTGAAGGTATCCAGTTTAAGCCCCATTGCCAAGGAATAACTACTGGATAAGGAATTTTAATCTATTTGGCTTTCGTAGTCGCCATTTGCTTTCGAGTCATTAGAATCAATCCTTTCATTAGGTAAAGAATAACTGACCCTGGATTGGGGCTTAAACTGAATAATTGCCATCTCAAGGCATTAGCGTCAGTTGCAATGAGCCCCCACAAATCTTAAACATTGCTCAGCATATGCTTGTGTTACAAGGTTGAATCTGTTTTTTTATATTCTTTTTTATATGAAAATGGATGTTTTTTAAATGTTTTTCAATGATTTTTTTTAATAAATTTTTTTTTTCAAAAACACAATATTTCATCCCCCCCCTCTCTCTCACACACACACTCACACAATCATCCAAAAGCATTAAGTTCTTTTGACTACATGTATTGCTATGCATTTGCAGCTGCATGTCTATATATTGATTTGTTCCTTCGTAACTTGTTGGTGCTTTGTTATTGTCTTTATCCACCTTATTCTAGATCCCTGTTGCTGTGGGATTTTCTAGTGGCTAGAGCAAGACATCAGCCTTTTCATTTGTTCAGTACCGTTGCCATCTGGATTAGTATTTACCGTATTGGCAATTTCCACACACTCACCCTCGTTTTGGCCATTTTTAACTACAGATGAGCATCCTCGTACTTTTGAACAGACCATAAGCTGTCCATGTGGCTTCTCAAGAACACTACATTGGTGGCCTGAGAGTTGGAGCGGGTGAAAAATCAGCTGAAGCTGTGTCTTGGAAAGAGAGACCGAGGCACCACCTGAATGCAGCTTATAACAAAAATAAAATTAGATTCTCAAATCGTAAGATAGATTATAGAGAAATCTAAAGAAAATTTTTTGGCATTTTTATTAAATCTGAATAATAGTTTTGATCTCTATAAAATAAAATAAATTTGTTTATTTATATTAGTACTAAAATATTTTATAGAAAATAATTTCTAATCAAAATTCATCTAATTAATAGAATTCTTATCATTAAGATTTCTAGATAGTATAAAAAATAATTAAATTAAAAGTGCGGAAGCTAAGTAAAAAATAAATAATTAAAATAAAAAATAATAACTTTAAGTTTTATATAAAATGTTTTTGGGTTTCTTTGTGGATTTCTTTTCATGCTTGACAAATAAATAATTAAAATAAAAAAATAATAACTTTAAGTTTTGTATAAAATGTTTTTGGGTTTCTTTGTGGATTTCTTTCCATGCTTGATTTTGTCAATATGATTCGTGAACTCTTGGGTTCATTGTTCTACATCAATCTCCTCACTTGAAAAAAACTCGTAATAAAATTATTTATTAGAAATTGAAATTTTCCACTTCAAAAAAACAAATATTTAGAATATATTATTGTAGTTAACTTATTCACTAAGTAGCAGCATGTCTTTTATTTGTGAACTTTAAAATTTAATGATGAGTGTATAATAAGAAAAAATGCTTATTTGATGTTCTATTCCTATAAAATTCACTTGTAGTTTATTCCTGTTTTTTTCTACTTTAAACTTAGTCTATCATCCATGTCGTTCAATACTTCAATTATTATATTTAAAGAAACACCAAAAAAATCTTTCATAATATCTCCAGAAGGCTTGTTATAAATTATTAAGTCCTCCATATTTTTTTTATTGCAAGATCTTCATGATCTTTATCAGGTTCACATAGAACATTTGTATCATTAAAAAATTTTCATTTATATTGAAATTCAACCACATTATTTTATTTTTATCTTTGTGGTTGTGATTATTTATCTTAATTTGATAAGGTCTCATAACCTCCATCAAATTTATCTTTGTCAACACCCTTTACACAGACAAGTTATTGTCTAGGTAGAATTTTAGGATTATATCTAAAATAAGGTTAGTCTTGAGATAAGTTTTTAAACATGTTCTTATTCTCTTTGTGATTCCTATTTGTGTCTTCAATAAGGCAAGATGGATTTTTTTCATTGGATGAATAGACATAATCATATTGATAACGAGGATTTGCATGAACTTGTTCAATGGTAAGTTAGTTGTGGGCATCATCTTTGACACATGTCTATCTTCTTTCCTGGTTCATGTTTGCATGCAATCCTAGTGTCTTAAACTCATTTTGCATTAGGTCATCGAATCTGACATTAATATCACCAAGCCTTGTCCACTTTGAATTAGCCTCTTAAAAGCTGCTATCATTATTGAATGATAATCTAACTGATCTCGAATAGCATGCATCCCTTGATCACTATTATAAAGATGATTGCAACTAACTTCTTCATGATTCTCTTTATGATTTTTCATTAATTCAGATATTGATCTGCTTTGATATTATTTAATGCGCAATGTATAACGAAAATAAAACTAAGGTTTTAAAATCCTAAAGGATACAAATCAAATTGTAGACAAATCTAGAGAAGATTATATTGTATTTTTATTGAATCTCAATAATAGCTTTGATATCCATGAAAAAAAGATTTCTAATTAAAACTTATATATTTAATAGAATCTATCTAGTATTAAGATTTCTAAATAGTAAAATATTAATTATATTAAAAGTTATGAGTTAAGTCAGAAATATATAATTAAAATATAAAATTAACTAGAAATTAATTAAAATAGGAATACAATAACTTCAAGCTTTGTTTAAGATGTTTTCGGATTTTGTTATGAATTTCTTTTTAGGTTTGACTTTGTTAATATATTCTGCAAAGATTTGAAATTATTGTTTTACGTCACCACTGTAAAGATAAGATGTTTATGTCGGAGGCTAAGCTAGAGAGGCTGCAGCAGTAGCACTCTTGACATCACGAATGGAAAAACCTTGAATTTTTGAAAGGATTTTCAGGGTTTTTAAGATAATATATGAATTTTATTAATGTATTTATGATTTTTTAAGTATTTTGAATAAAAAACAAATTAAAATTAACTTTCCAGACAAATAAAACCCAAGGCGTGATTTTTTTCATGACCAGAGATCACTAGAAACTAGCTTGATGCCCCTTTGTTATTAAAAAAATTTTAAAAAATATTTTTTAATTAAATTTTAAGCAAATAAGGTTTTGATTGTGCATTGTTGTTTGATAATGTGTTTAAAAAGTACTATTAAAAAAAATTGAATTTTTTTTAATTAATATATTTTTAAATCATTTTAATATATTAATTTTAAAAATAATTTTTAAAAAATAATCATAACCACGCTTAAATACGTCAATCCGCTAAACCTTCACGGCAACTACATCTCTTTTACTGAGGTACACTAATTTCAATACCATTTTATTTACAAGGTGGCGACCGTGTTTAAAGCAAAATGCAGGAACCAAACATTTGGTTAAAAAAACAATAATTATTGTTCACGAGCCCATAATTTATGGTGTTTGCAACACAGGGTTAGAAAAAGCAGCCAAGGGCTATTTTCACATGCGCCCCGCTTGTTTTCGTAAATAATTGAACTCTCATTTTCTATGGACTCTACCTATCGTAAGAAATTAAATCTATGGGGTGCCAGATATTTATGCCTAGATAAAGTAATTTATTACACTCTACTATCAAAGAGATTCTTTTCTCTATATCCCAATGCCAAACCATCACCAGTTTTCTTCTTATATAAATGATGATTATGACTATATTAGGATTATAATTAAATTATTATTATTTTTTAAAATAAAAATTAAATTATATTTTTATATATTAATATCAAAAATAAATTTTATAAAATAAAAAAATATTATTTTAATATATTTTAAAATATAACTACCAACTTATCCGACTTAGTATAATAAAATAAAAAATTTTATTTTTTTTTTATTTTTAATTATGTTTTATTTAATAAATTAATGTTTAATATTATTTAATGATACTAATAATAAATTAGATAGAGATCACAATCTTAATTTTATTTATAATGATATTTTATATGATATTGTTGTGTATTTAAAAAACTAAAAAAATTGTAGTACTTGTTAGATGTGTTTTATATATGATGGAATTGTAGATAATTTAATAGAATAAAAAAGAAATATTTTATAAAAATATTATTTATTTCATAATTTAATTTTATTAGTTAAATTTAAAATATTTAAATTAAAAACTATCAATATTAATATATATTTTTAAAAATTATTTTACAATCTCAATTTAAAAAACATTCTTAACTAAATATATTAAAATATTTTTTTATTCAACTTTAATTTAAATTATAATTTTAACTAAATATATATAAACATCAAATTAATTTTAATTAAAAATAATTTTTTTAAATTGTAATAACAAAAGTTATCACAGCCAAACTGACTTTCCTAGCTGCTCACCGCGTTTCCTCCACGAGCTGCCACAACCAGCATGGAAGTCCTGCGACGTGGACAGCGTTGTTGCTTGCCATGTCATATTTGATTCTGTCATTCACTTTTTTGTCTTCATACTTGTTTTTCTCCACTCTCCACGTGACAATTGTCTTTTATTTTTTGGGGCTTGCAAAGAGGGTATGTCAAGGATACTTAGAGAATGTACTGACAATCATGTATGAGAAAGTATAATAAGATCCTTTTTTATAAAACCCAATAAATGAAAAAGGAAAAATCTTAATTCAAGTTAGTGTTCACAAGATGGCCGAAAAAGTTTTGTTTTGTTTATATATATATATATATATATATATATGTTTAGAATCAATCCTTTCATTAGGTAAAGAATAACTGACCCTGGATTGGGGCTTAAACTGAATAATTGCCATCTCAAGGCATTAGCGTCAGTTGCAATGAGCCCCCACAAATCTTAAACATTGCTCAGCATATGCTTGTGTGACAAGGTTGAATCTTTTTTATATGAAAATGGATGTTTTTTAATGAAAACTTTTTTTCAAAAACACAATATTTCCCCCCCCCCCCCCTGCAGCTGCATGTTTATATATTGATTTGTTACTTCGTAATTTGTCAGTGCTTTGTTTTTGTCTTTGTCCACCTTTTTCTAGATCCCTGTTGCTGTGGGATTTTCTAGTGGCTAGAGCATGACATCAGCCTTTTCATTTGTTCAGTACCGTTGCCATCTGGATTAGTATTTACCGTATTGGCAATTTCCACACACTCACCCTCGTTTTGGCCATTTTTAACTACAGACGAGCATCCTCGTACTTTTGAGCAGACCATAAACTGTCCATGTGGCTTCTCAAGAACACTACATTGGTGGCATGAGAGCTGGAGCTGTGTCTTGGTAAGGGAGGCCGATGCACCACCTGAATGCAGCTTATAACAAAAATAAAATTAGATTCTCAAATCGTAAGATAGATTATAGAGAAATCTAAAGAAAATTTTTTGGCATTTTTATTAAATCTGAATAATAGTTTTGATCTCTATAAAATAAAATAAATTTGTTTATTTATATTAGTACTAAAATATTTTATAGAAAATAATTTCTAATCAAAATTCATCTAATTAATAGAATTCTTATAATTCTTATAATTAAGATTTCTAAATAGTAAAAAAATAATTAAAGTAAAATTTGAAAGCTAAGTAAAAAATAAATAATTAAAATAAAAAATAATAATAACTTCAAGCTTCATATAAGATGTTTTTGGGTTTCTTTATGAATTTTTTTTCATGCTTGATTTTTGTCAACGTGATTTGTGAACTCTTGGGATAATTGTTTTATGTCAATTTTTTTATTTGAAAAAAACTCGTAATAAAATTATTTATTAGAAATTGATTTTTTTCATTAAAAAATAAATATTTAGGATATATTATTATAGTTGACTTATTCACTGAGTAGCATGTTTTTTATTTGTAAACTTCAAAATTTAATGATGAGTGTATAATAA